AACGCAGAAGAGACCGGAGCAGGGGCAGGAGCATCGATAGGGATGATAGCTATGAACGTGGCACTGGTGACTACAGCCCAGCCAGGGATTACAGTCACAGACATCAGCCTGACCCTAGATATGACAAGGAAGCAAGGAGTCATAGTCGAGACAGACTGAATTCCCACAGCCCCTTGCCTGAACCACGACACCAACACGAGTACCCGGGACAACAATACCAGGATAGACCTATTGGTGTTCTCCTAACAAAAAGCAAACCCAATGAAGGTAGCTGTGGCAGGAGGGGGAAAATGCTTCTGGTGAAAGGATAGATTTTAAGGGGAAAATGCTGTTCTCTCCATTGGCTATTGGGTGGGTGGCTTTAATACTCTACATACAACCGCTTACCTACATTCCTCTTCCACTCACTTACCACTGTGTATAGGTGCCATCCAGTGGTGAGCTGGAGCCGGTTCACACCGGTTCTCTGGTACCTGTGAGGGACAACTGGTTCTAAAAGGGCTTCTAAATTTAACAACCGGCCAAAAGTGTTGCCTTAGGTGCCAACTCTGTCGGTGCTCTGGGGCTGGAGCACTCACGGGGAAAATTTGGTGGGTGCAGCTCCCTGCCCCGCCCCAGCTCACCTCCGCTCCGCCTCCGAGTTACTCTCTGTCCTGCTCTGCTTCTCTCCCCGACCCGGCTTCCCGTGAATCAGCTGTTTACGCGGGAAGCCTGGGAGGGCTGAGAAGCAAGCGGTGGCTTCGCGCTCAGGCCCAAGGAGGCGGAGCGGAGGTGAGCCTGGGGGGGGGTTGCGCGCAGGGGAACTGCTCCCCACCCCAGCTCACCTCTGCCTCCTTGGGCCTGAGCGCGAAGCTGCCGCTTGCTTCTCAGCCCTCCTAGGCTTCCTGCGCAAGCAGCTGATTTGCAGGAAGCCGGGAGGTGTGGGGGAGAGAAGTGGAGCAGGGCAGAGCGTAACTCGGGCAGAGGCGGAGCGGAGGTGAGCTGGGGCGGGGAGGGGGAGCTGCACCCAGCAAATTTTCCCCATGGAGTCAGTTCCTAAGGCGCCACTTTTGATGTGATCAGGAGAGGGAGCAGGTGCTACCCTGCCCCTCGGAGCCAGAGGGACCTGCCGGATGCTTCCTGGGAGCCACCCCAGGTAAGCACTACTGGGACTCCCCACCTCACCCCCCGGCAGGTCCCTCTGGCTCTTAGGGGTGGGGTGGGGTGGGCACCCACTATGGTGGCCCACGAGACCCTCCTGCCCGGATCCTGGGGCAGACAGGGGAGGGGGGTGGATGGGGCAGGCTCCGGGGGGTGGGCCACGATCCCCTCATGGGGTGAGGAGGGAACTGGTTGTTAAGATTTTGGCAGCTCATCACTGGTGCCATCTACTCTTTGTCCTTGGACATGGGACTTCCTCTTTGCCTGTACCATCCACTGCTCTAGTCTCTCCGGGTCACTGTGCACTCTTGTACTTTCCTATGATGAGCTCACTACCCTTGTGATGGAATCCACAACTTTGATCAGGTTAAATTTACACCAAAGTTAAATTTATGCCTGGCTTTTATAGATTAAAGAGAACCTGCTGGATCCTGTCTTTTAGTGTTTGGTTTAGTTTAGGTTATTTGCTTTAGTGGAAGGCAGGTGAGGTTTCCAAAAGTGTAGTTTGGGTGAAATGCATTGATACATGGACCTCTAATGGCTAAGGTTCTGGTTCAAACTAGAACTGGTTCATTCATCACTAGAATAATTAAAAAGTAAACTTTTAACAAAATGTTGGAGGCTGCATGGTAGGGGGTGTGTGTGCGCGTGATCTTAATAGTGTCGCAAAAATACATGTTGTGCAACAAAACTATACTTTAGATTGGGTTGTGTCAGCATTTTACTTTATAAATCCTGTCTTCCTGGGATTTATAGAAATCCACTGCTTGGGGGCACTTGACATATTGCAAATCGTCTCTCCACAGGAACAAACCTGTTCTTCTAATCTGGAACACACCACTGCATCTATCTTAATAGCATTGGTGGAGGGGGGAGGCTTATGTTTTGTTTTGTTTTTATAAAAATTAATTTTGTACATGACAGGATCACTTTCATTATGAGTTTACAAAAAAAAAAAAAAAAAGATGCTCCCATATGTAAAGATAATGCACATGGAGATACGTACCATGTATGTAGAGAAAATCTGTTTAGCGACTTTGTTGAAGAAGTTTGTACATAGATAAGAGGTGGTACAAAAACACCATGACCATTCAGAGCTGTAGAAGCCTGTTTGGTGATGGGACTATACTGGCACAAAGCCAGAGGAGCCAACTCCCTCCCTATCCCCCAACACAGGGGGTGTATCTGAGGAGGGGAGGGGCCATGGCTCCACTCCTCAAATACTGTAGTCTCTTAGGGCTATGGAAAGTTATCCTGAGTTGGTGCAGCTAACATTGTGGCCATGACGAGCCACTGCCATTTGAGACTGGGGGAACCATAAATGCCACCCTGAGATGCCCCCACTGCCTTCCCCAGCCTCCTGCACTAGCAGAATATGGCACAGGAGAGAATATGACCCATGAGGTACAAAAACCTGTCATTAAAAAAGTGAAATGTGAGACTGTAGGCAGTGTAGAACTGATGTCCCATCTTTGAGTCTCACCATGTTACCTCTGCTTCTTAAGGTGCCTGATTCCCTTTTACTATAAAGTGCTGTGTTGCATGTGATTGTGGATGATGTGTACTCAGAGTGGTAGTTAGATGTAAACACTTACTCGTTCTGCCAACTTACAGGCTGTGGATTTTTTTCCTTCCTTTTCCAGAGTATGGTCTCCGACTTGGAAGTCAGATTTTCATAAAAGAAATGACTGGTACTGGCCTGGCAACTAAAGATGGTAATCTGTATGAAGGAGACATAATACTCAAGGTGTGTTGTGGACAAAGGCAGGGCCAGCTCTAGAATTTTTGCCGCCTCAAGCAAAAAAAATTTTGGCAGCCCCGCTTTTTTCTCGTGCCCCCCGGCCCGGCCCCACCTCCTCCCCCAGGCGTGCCGCATTTTCCCCCCTCCCCCTTATTGCTTCCTGCAGCTCCCTCCACCCCAATCCTCCGCTCTAGCTCACCTCCGCTCTGCCTGCTCCCCTGAACACGCCGCCGCTCCGCTTCTCCCCCCTCCCTCTCAGGCGAGGGAGGGGCAGCATGTTTAGGGGAGCAGGCGGAGCAGAGGTGAGTGAGGGTGGGGGGGAGCGCAGGAAGTAACGGGGGGGGGTAGAGGAACCGCTCCCTGCTCCAGCTCACCTCCGCTCCTCCACCGCTGCCTCCCCCGACCGCGCCGCCGCTCGACTTCTCTGTCCCGGCAAGCCTGGGAAGAGGGGGGACAAGCGGAGCGGTGGCCAGTTGGGGCACATTTCTAGGAGGCGGCAGGGCCGGCGCCGGAATGCCGTCCCTAGAAATGTGCCGCCCCAAGCACCTGCTTGTTTTGCTGGTGCTAGGGCCGGCCCTGGACAAAGGCATGCTGAAGCTGTGTACATTTATTAGGATGTTTCTTTCTGTGCTGAGGTGTGTGTTTCTTTGTTAGTTTGTTTTTTGTTTTTAATTTGAAAACCTAATTAGAAAATCTGCTCACTGGAAAGGGGATGAGCAGGTTTGAGCTTTGAGATGACTTCTTATTGCCATTTGTGTTCTTAATTTTTTGCTTTTAATAGTACTTCTGCCTTATATGTATAGATTAATGGTACAGTAACAGAGAATATGTCGCTAGCTGATGCCCGAAAATTGATTGAGAAATCACGAGGAAAACTCCAGTTGGTAGTCCTGAGGGACAGAAAACAGACACTGCTCAACATCCCTTCGTTGCATGACAGTGACTCAGAAATAGAAGGTGAGGTGTCTTAGGGCCAAAAGGTAATGTCAGTTCTACTCCCTGTATAGACAGAAAGTGAAGCTGTTTATATAAAGTGTTTCTCATAGGATGGTGGTAATGCAAGTACTATATTTGATTGATACCTGTATTGCAGCTATTCTTTAGAAAGACAAAGAAGCAGCAAACCCTTTTCCTTTGGTGTAGGAAGAACCTTCAGTCACTCAGCAGGCCTTGTGTCATTCAGTGACCTTTCTAGCTGATTCATGAGTAATCTTGACTAAACAAAGCAAAGTCCAACTCCCCGTGGCTAGAAGGAAAGTCATTTTAATGCAAGGCCCAAATCATGACAATGGTGGGATGAGCTCAGTCTCATTTCACTCTAAGGACATTTCCGCTCTTTCCAATATTCCAGGGAAGGAGACAAAATTATGCAATCAGCGGTTAGTTTAGCCTTCTCCTACCAACTTCTTCAATCGTTTTCATATGAATAGTCCCTTTCAGCATAACCTGCTGGTGCCTCACTGGAAACATGATGCTGTTAATTGATTCAGGAAGTGTGTTTCTGGTGTGAGAATATTCAGTGCAACTTCTTGGAGCTTTTCCTGCTGAGAATGGGTCATGACTTGAATTTGTGGGCTACATGGAAAATTGTTTGCTTCTTTCTGAAGGACATTTAATAGCTCAGCTTCATGTTGTTTAACAGTGAACCCTCTGGACTTTCAAAGGAGAAATTGGGGAGGGCAATGACAGACAAGCCATTTTCTTTTTATTTAATCTTTTCTATGCAAGATTCAGTTGCAGTTCTTGGCAACCACCTTCTCTTCTTCATTTTTACAGTTTTCTCATTTCTGTATCAATAAAAATAGGCCTCTGTGTGGTGTGTTTTTCTGGTGAGAGCTCAAACCTGTGGGATGTTAATACTAGTTGGGAAAAGTTTACACTTGCTTTTGATGCTCCTTGGAATGTCTTTCTGGATGTTACAAAACCTTCCTGAAATATTTTGTGGGAGACACAGGCTCTAAGAGGGGCAGGTCACTTTTCTTAGCCCCAGGCAAATCTTTTTTCCAGAGTGGGGATAGTTTATAAATATTTCATATTTTGTATCTTGAGATTATTGCAAGTAAGTAGATGTGGATAAATGTGCAATGAAATGGAAGACAAATCTCTTAAACAGACTTACCGTAACTGTTCTCTCAATAGATATTTCTGAAATTGAGTCAAACCGATCAAGCTCCCCTCAAGATGACCAAAAATTACATCACTCTGATTTCGACTCTCATTCCTCCAGTGAAAAACTAAAGGAAAAGCCAAAGTAGGAAGTGTTACTCTTCTTTTTCTTACTAAAGAAGACATTTTTAATATGTACCAAATTTTGTTTTAATGTTCTCAATTTGTTATTCTTTCTGTTAAGTACAAAAGAGGATCCACCCAACAGGTTGTCCAGGATGGGAGCAATGCCCACGCCTTTTAAATCAACCAGTGATATAGCTGCTGCTGCTGCTGTCATGATCACCGACACAAACAAAGAACCAAAGTACAAAGATGACCCGCCAGGTCAGAGCTACAAATGTCCCATTTGAGATGTTTTTTCCCTCCAAACAAAACCCATTAGCTGCGAAAGGAGAGAATTCCAAGGGGTATAAACCCTCATGCTTCAGAATTAAGCCAAACACTAACTGGAGGGAGTTAGGAAGAAACTTTTTCTATGGCTCCCCAGATTATTCCATAATTGTCTACTACAGGGTTTCTTGCACCTTCCTCATCTGGTACTAGCCACTGTCAGAGATGGGATGCTAGACTAGATGGACCACTGGTCTGATCTGGTATGGCAGTTCCTGTGCAGAGCAGCCTGCAGTTCTTCTTATCTATAATAAAGAACTAAATAACCAAGTCCTTATTCCATTGAAAAGCGAGGACAGGAGAGAGCTAAAGATAAAGCACAAAGGTTAAATGTACGTTGAGTGCTCTTATCCGCAAAAGTGAATCTATACAATTGTACTGACAAAATCCTGGCTTTGTTATCTCCCAGGAAGGTAGGGTCTGAAGGCATCTCTTATCCATATCTTCCCCAGCTGATTGACAATTGGCACAAATTGGCTCGAAGGGAATTCACATCCAGCCTTCTTGGCTGGAATAGACTGACTGGCCTTTGGGCAGACCTTAAAAGAGGACAATTGGAGCAAGAGATTGAATATCAGATTCCTGACAAAAAGAAAATTGGAGAGGAAAAAACCATTTGACAAGGATTACATAATTGGGAGATGAGCCTGAAATCATAAGTTAATTTACTGCCTTGACATTTGTTCTTTAGTTACTTTTTAGTTTTGGATACTGCAGTCAGAGTGCCTTGTGCTTTAGGCTGCAGATCTGCACTCTTTGCTGGCATACATGATATTGTTGTAACTGCTGCCTGTAACTGAAAACCTTTCATTCTTTTATGTCTTGTTTGTCCAGTTAGATAACTTTATGGTTTTTACACACAGTATCTCAACCAAAAGTAACCCCAAGAACCTTTCTTCGGCCTAGTCCTGAAGATGAAGCAATATACGGGTATGCTTTCAACACCTGGTTTTTCTCACCATCTATCCATATTGCTTTTTTTGTTTTCTTGGGCTGGTTTCTTCATCAGTGGTTTTCCCCTATACAGTCCTATGCCAAGAAAAGATAACTTGGGTTCTGTATTAAATAGCTGACTGACAACATTTAGGATGAACTTAGTTTTTAAAAAGGAGGCCTAATGTATATGCACAAGACTGCAGGCCCCCTACATTTGTATGTACAGTGTCTGATTTCATAGACTGGTTCTAAATGCAGATTGCTAGTTAAATACCTACCTTTGCAATTTGCAGGCACAAACACAATAATTGCACTTGCAAATGTAGGTATGTATCTTTATGCATGGTTCTTGGCTCTCCTCTATTTTAATCTATGGTCTCTACATTTCTCTTTGCATCTCAGATTTTTGGATATTAATCTATATAAAGGGCATTGATAGCTTTGAAAAGGATAAAACGTTAGAGGCTGAATTATCATAAAGTAAGGCCTAAGGTCTGGGTGTGGGGTTTTGTGTGTGTGCCTGCCTGCTTTTGCGCACACCCATTCCACAGTTGTATATACACAAGCTAGAGATTTTTGCAGCTAAATGTCTATTTTCTCAATCCCTACTTTGTGTACTGAGTGCAGCTGTGGAACCTGCACACTGAAAAGCAGGAACAAAATGTCTGTGGACCTAGGACCTAGTTTTTTAAATGTGATAATGTTGACCTCTAGAGCTTTGACTGTCTAGAGTCTGATATTTGAAATCACTAAGGTGCTTTACAAGAATACAACTTGGATGCTTTTTTTATATAAATTATTAAATGGGGAAATGGGCTGGTGTTGGGGAAACAGTAATAAATCAGTTGGAGATCTGGATTGAAGGGGTGAACCCTAAAGAAGGGGAACTGAAGATCTGTTTGTTCCAAACTTTCAGCAGAGAGTCAGGTTTAAAGATCTGAGAACTGATTAACTTCTGAAAGGTGGTCTCGGGGTCAAGTCCTGTGTATTGTAGATATGGATAATGGGTACAAATTGATATGTCAGTGTTTAGTTCTGGTTCAGTTAAAGAGAATTTATGGGACAGGCTCTAACTGGTATGTTGAGCGAATGATAACAGAAAGGCAGTGCCCTCCAAGTATGTGAAGGTCATCCAGGCATACAGCATTTCTGGCAGAGAAAAAGCTGAACTTACTCCAGTACTTGCTGTCTCCTTGGAACAAGAGAGGTTTGATTCAACTTACCAACTGGGCATTCTTGACACTCTGCCCACAGAAGAAAGTCTGAAGACTTCCATGTTATCCGACTCTCCTATTAATTACCTGATAGGTTATTACACTGCATTCTGCGTAATGTAGAGAGGGGGAAAAATCTGAGTGTGATTACTCATAATTCATTTAAACTGGTATATTTTAAAAACAGCTCTTTATGTGAGGCAGGTGGCTCAGTGGTTAGGGTTCTAGCTAACGACTGGGGAGACCTGGGTTCAATTCCCAGTTATGTCACAGACTTTCTCTGTGGCCTTGGGCAAGTCACTTAGCCTCTCTTTACCTCAGTTCCCCATCTGTTCAAGGGGGATAATAGCATTACCCTACCTCACAGGGGTATTGTGAGGAGACATACATGAAAGACTAAGAGATTCTCACATAGTACCGTGATGGGCCATATAAGTACCATAGAGAGATTGACAGCAAGCGTACTTAAGTTTACTTCCTACAAATGATTCATGTCATATGTATAATCTTTGGCCTGACTTTTTCTCTTTCTGCATGTGAATACTCTAGTCCTAATACGAAGATGGTAAAATTCAAGAAAGGAGACAGTGTGGGTCTACGGCTGGCAGGTGGGAATGATGTAGGGATATTTGTTGCTGGAATTCAAGAAGGCACTTCAGCTGACCAGGAGGGGCTACAGGAAGGAGATCAGATTCTTAAGGTATCCATGTAAATGTTCAGCCCTGCAACTAAAACTGCTTGTTCCTTGATACCATGTGAAAGAAATTGCTTTCTTTACTTTCATCAATATGAAAAAACCATAAATCCATATGACTTTATTCCTAGGGACAAGGTCACTGTTCCTAGAGCATGATTTTTTTTTATCTGAATTCTTAAATTTTGACATCTGCTGTTGAAATTTATTAAGATTCAATAGGAGAAGTAGTTGGTTGAAATGTTACATGACACAAATGCCCCAAGATGGAAGTGGATACACTCACTAGTGACTCCTCCAGCTGAGAAACAGACCATAGAGCATGAGACCAGAGTATCTTCCCCTCTCTCCCACCCATCATTTAGCTTTTGTCCCTCTATGACCTGATTATTTTCTCCCTTCCTTTACTCACATTTTAGTGAATAAAAGGTGATAGATGTTATTTGATAGATGTTATTATCAAAACTCCTTAGGTTTCCCTTGTTGTTTTTGTTGTTTTTCTACCCAAAAAATCTCTTCTGAGACTGTGGCTCTCCTCTTTCTGTCTATCATGTCCTCCTCCTGAGTTTTCTCTCCTGTCTAAATCAGTTGGGCCTGATCCCAAAGCCCTCTGAAGTCAATAAAGATTCTAACTGATTTCCATGGGGTCCGTCTCAGTCCCATAGTCCCCTGCTTCATGTTTTCATTTCTCCAACTGCTTGCTGGCCTGAACAGGTTTTGAAATAATTCCTTTTCTGAAGCACTGATTCTCCTTCCCTGTCTCATTTTTCTCTCTCAGCTTTCCTTCTGCAAATAGACCCTGACTGGCCCAAAGACCTTGCACTGGGAGCCACTGCACTCCAGTACAGCTCTTCCCTTAGCGCCTCAGAGTTGGTCCAAGGGAGTGAACATCACTTCTATGTCCAGATAAACAGCCGAGACACACATGGAAAAGGGGGTAGGGTGAGTGCAGTTGAGAGGCAACCACAGAAAGATGTGCTCACAACGCTAGGTGACCAGGATGCTGGATGATATTGAAACTAGGGTACAATCCTGTGATGAATTATAACCATCTGGAGCATACCAGTGCATCAGATTACTTGAAGTTCCTTGATTACTTAGCACAACAGTATACTTAGAATATGTGGGATTTTAACTACAGAACAGCATAATATGTGGAAACAGATATATCCTTACCTGGAAATGGACCTTTTCTTATGTGCCCTGGCCATCTGTGCCCATGTTCAGGCATTTTGTAGCCCTTCACAGAGTGCCCTCAACATCAGGGTACTTTCAGAATGTCACTCGTAGTTATAGGTAATCCATCTTCTACATACCTATAATGTCCATTGGCATAAACCAATGAACCTCTGTATTGATGATATATTTTTTTTTAAACCATAATAAAACAGCCTTTTCCTTTCCTCTTTTAGGGCTTTATTACACTAATAAAATATTTCTTGTGCATCAGGTAAACATGCAGGATTTTAGAGGCATTGTGCGGGAGGATGCTGTTCTCTACCTGTTAGAAATTCCCAAAGGAGAAACTGTGACCATTTTGGCTCAGAGCAAATATGAAGGTAGGCACCTGGTACCAAAAGTGTGACAATGTTTGTTATGACTCAGTGTGACAGGCACTGAAAAGAACAGTAGGCCTTTCAACTCAGCTGTGTTTTGCTGGGGACATCACAAATGCTCTTTCTCATACTCAGTTTTCAAAACACTTTTTAATTGCCCTCATTTTAAGTATTGTAGAAAATTATTGCTTTTGTGTCCAGCTGACTCCCACCCTGGACATGTGGAGGAGGAGAGGTGGGCTGGCTGCTTCACCATTCAGCTGGTCAAAGAAGAGCCCTGCTCCTCTACTCATCCACCCAGCCTGTAATAAGCACCTCTTGCTAGCTCTGAACCTCTGCCATTTAGTTCTTGTCCCCCATACCCAGTCGCTTCTACCTTCAGCAGCCAAGATGCTGCTCCTTGCTGCCTTCCCCTTCAGTCATGGGATCTGTAGGGGGATTGTTGTCAGATGTCAGCAATACAGGGCTTTTATTCATGAGGCAATAAGGAGCAAATACAAATGTTTGCTTGTTTGATTTTAGATATAACCGTGTGTGTGTACTAGAACACTTAGTAATGTACACAATATTTTAAAATTGGAAATATAGGGAGAGCTGAGAAAGCTGACAGGGCTGCATGAGGAATCTGAGTTCAAATATCCAGTTCTCTGTGCTGGCAGTGGTTGGGAATGCTATGGATGCAAACCCCGAGGCAGGAAAAACAGTTTTGTGTTGCTCTGCAGTGCAGCGCACCTCTCGCTTCCATTGGCTGACTGAACCAATGATGTTGACAAGTTCCAGAGTGAATCAGATGGAATGAAGAGCAGAGGTGGAGGACCTTTTAGGGAATAAAAGGGTGGGCAGGCATAAGGAACATGCCAGTTCACCTTTTCTTTCCCACGTTGGGGGCGAAGGGAAGAAATTTCAAAGTTTTGTGACTAGAATAACAGCTTAATCTCTCCTTCACTAACCTTACACTATTTAAGGTAGTAGGCTTGAAGAGCAGGTGAGTAAAACACCACCCACAGCAACTATGTCAGAGCAAGGTATGGGACATCTATTTAGCAAAGTTAAACTAAATGATGTCTTCTCTTCCAGTGTATAGAGACATAATGGCCTGTGGCAGAGGAGATTCATTTTTTATAAGGAGTCACTTTGAATGTGAGAAGGAATCTCCACAGAGTTTAGCATTCACCAGAGGGGAGATCTTCCGAGTAGTTGATACACTGTACGACGGCAAACTGGGTAACTGGCTGGCTGTGAGAATTGGAAATGAACTGGAAAAGGGCATCATTCCAAATAAAAGCAGGTACATTGATTTCCCACCTGCCCACCCAATGTTTAAAATAAGAGATTCTCACCCTATTCACCATTCACATAACCCATTTGGGAGAGGAAGGAGGGGAAAAGAACATGGACACCGTCCATCCCTCAAGCGATCACATTCATAACAATAGTGTATGTGTAAAATTAACTTTTAAAACTGTGGAATTAGTCGGTAACAGCTGAGCAAAGATGGCCTTGTAGCGAAGATACTGCACTCAGACCTGTGAGATCTGGGTTCTAATCCCAGTTCTGCTGTAGACTTCCTGTGAGATCTTGGACTAGGCGTGTACTCTTTCAATGCCTTAGTTCTCCATCTGAAAAATAGGAATAATACTTTCCTACCTCAAATGAGAGAGGAGAGGGTAAGATAAATGAATTAGCATATGTGAGGCACTCGGGAATTACAGTGATGAGTTGTCATAAATATAAAGGGAACCTTCCTGTATACAGTACTATAAAATCCCTCCTGGCCAGAGGCACAAAATCCTTTTACCTGTAAAGGGTTAAGAAGCTCAGGTAACCTGGTTGGTACCTGACCAAAAGGACCAATAAGGGGACAAGATACTTTCAAATCTCGGGGGGGGGTGGGTTTCATCTGTCTGTTCTGTGTATGCTTGCCGGACACAGATCAAGGAAGCAAGCAATCCACCTCCATTAGAATTAGTAAGTACTAGCAAGGGAATGTGTTAGTTTATTTTTGTTTTGGCTTGTAATTTTCTCTGTGCTGAGAGGAAGGTGTATTCCTGGTTTTCTTTTTGTAACTTTAAAGTTTGGCCCAGAGGGAAATCCTCTGTGTTTTTGAATCTGATTGCCCCGTAAGATTATCTTCCATTCTAATTTTACAGAGGTGCTTCTTTTACTTTTTTCTTTCTAATAAAGTTCTGTTTCTTTTAGAATCTGTTTTTTGTTTTGTTTGTTTGTTTGTTTTGGTGTCCTAAAAAAACCCCAAGGTTGGTCTGTGCTCATCTTGTTTATTCTCAAGCCTCCCCAGGAAAGGGGGTGTCGGGGCTTGGGGGGATATTATGGGGGAGTAGGAACTCCAAGTGATCCTTTCCCTGAGTTTGTCTAAATCACTTAGTGGTGGCAGCGTTATCTAATCCAAGGTACAAGGGAGAATTTGTGCCTTGGGGAGTTTTTCACCTAAGCTGCTGGAAATAAGCTTAGGGGGTCTTTCATGCAGGTCTGTACCCTAGAGTTCAGAGTGGGGAGGGAACCCTGACATGAGTGCTCTGGAAAAAGCCTCTGATACTTTTCTGTATAGCTACATGTTCTTAGGGAAAGTGTGTTTTCATGTCTTGACAATTTTAATTGTATTCTTGGAAGTACTGAGGGTGACTGAACTGTTGTGGGAAGTTTTTGGCTAAATTTGCTTTTACAAACTCCAGTTAATTCAGACAGATTTTTTAAATGTGCTTGGTTATCTGGTGTGCTTTTAATGAAGAATTGCAGAGTGCAGCAAAGTCATATCTAAGTGATATTTCTTTCAATATAGTCGCAGTTTTATTTTAAGAAAAAATCTTCAATTCTCCTATACAAAAGTTCCTAAAGTTATATGACTTTACAGTGTACTTCCATGATGTCCTGCTTGGTTTTCCTTTCCTATGTGGTGCACCTTAGTCTATTCTTTTTTATACTGAACTGACTAAGGGGGCTTTACCTTTTGGACTCAATTTAAGATATCTGAGGAAGAGATGATGGAGAGCGGGAGGTGGTCTTTAAGCAATTTGCCCATCATTTCATGATGGGTTGCTTCCTCTCTTTCCATCTCCACATACATCACCTTTTCCTTGAGCAGCTACTTGGCATACATTATGTTTGTCATTTGCCTTAGCAGCCAGAGGATTGATTCATGCACAATAAACCTTGCAGTTGAGGCAAGTCAGAGCATCTCTCTGATATTAATTTTGTCTGCTTCAAGGCAAGAATCCCTGGATACCCTTCCACAGATTGCCTACCTGCCGAGTTATCCATTGTAGTTACAAATTCATATCCTGGATTCTGCTGAGGTTCTTCCTTTAGTGTGGCATGTTTTTCCTTTGATTGCATTTTTCAAATGGATTCCATGCTGTTCCTTTCAGAGCTGAGCAGATGGCCAGTGTTCAGAATGCCCAAAGAGATGGCTCGAGTGACAGGGCAGATTTCTGGAGAATGCGTGGCCAACGATCTGGAATGAAAAAGAATCTGAGAAAGAGTCGTGAAGATCTGACAGCGATTGCATCTGTTAGCACAAAGTTCCCGGCCTATGAGCGAGTTCTGCTGCGAGAGGGTGAGTGGAACTTTACAGAACTGAGCACCTATTCACATCTTGCTGTTATTGCCCAAGTGTTACTGTCATTTATGTGGCAACTTAATAAGTGTCGCCACCCGTCTTGGGTTCTAGGCTAAATGAAAAGTATAACAGAAAACGGTAACATGCTAATCTCCTGGTCAAGATTCTAACTTCTGAGCACTGTTTTCTCTAAGCTGTGCGCATGTGTGTGCGCACAGATCCTAAACCCCACGCACACGGCAAAAATTTGCACAGAAGCACAACAGTTTGCACAGAAGAAATTTTTTGCGCACACAGCCTGTCAAAAATTTGAGGGAACATTGCTTCTCAATGCAGCTGTTCTCTGCTCTAAAAAGTGTCACTGCAAACACTGCTTCTTGGAAGTCCATACTTGTCTCTTCTTCACTTCCTCATCAAATTTGTTCACCTCACAAGTAAAGAGATGTTTTGGTATTTTTTGGCCAGCCTTGCAAACATAACCTAGGATATGAAAATCTAGCTGTGTTCTTTCTGGCTCATTCATAGACACCTGTAATAATGATTCTTTAGGGCAAATGCAACCCTCAGTTACACTGGTGTAATCCCATTGCCTTTATTAATAGAGTTGCCTGGATGTAACAGAGGGAAGAATTTTTGTCCCTGTAATAATTCTCCTGATGTTACATGAGTCAGGATAGTTTCCATTCTCCTGTGTTATGTTGGTTCTACTGGGCTAAGAGGAATAAAAAGTAGTAAAAACACTTTCAGGGGACACCGAGCACAATATGGCCCTCTCCCACTGGCTTACAAGGACCATTATGTTACTTGCATTGGCCTCAGAATAAGAACATTCTCTCCACTCTTTGCCACTGTAAAGTGCTCTGACCCTGCAAATGCTTAAGCATGTTTGTAACTTTAATCATCAGAGTAGTCTCACTGCATTTAGTGTGGCTTCGAGAGCTTGTAGTTTACTGCAGGGCAGACTAGGGAAATTGTACTATACATCCTCAAATGGCAGAGTCCGCTCAGCTGTTCTTGATTCTGAATAATGAGAAGGACTATCTACGTGTTTCTTATTTCCATTCTTCTCCCTTCCAACTTTTTATAAGTGTGGGTGGGGGAAACAACCCTCTCATTTTTCCCCATTGGTAAGTCATACATGAATTCCCTTCACATTAGGAAAGGTCCTGCATGAATCACTGGGAACCAAAAGATAGGAGGGGAGGGGTGAGTGGGTGTGTGTGGGGGTGTGTGTGTAAAATGTATAATATGGAGCTTACAGATACTTCCAGGATATTAGTCTTAAAGATTAAATTGAGCTTTTTCTGCATGTTTGTTTCAATATGTATTGCCATGGTTATTTTATATGTAAAGACCTTCTGTCTAAATATTTTTTTCTTCAGCTGGTTTTAAGAGACCTGTGGTGATATTTGGCCCCATTGCAGATCTAGCGATGGAAAAGCTGTCAAATGACTTCCCTGATCTGTATCAAACTGCCAGTAAGTCATTCATTACTTTTTCTTCAGCAGTTTGGCTCTTCAGCATTGAATTTTGGGGGAAGGGTAATTTGAACACCCATTTCACAACTGGAAAAACCATCTGTTGTCCTTGCAGAGACGGAACCCAAAGATGCAGGTTCAGAGAAGTTAACTGGTGTGGTGCGTTTGAACACTGTGAGGCAAATTATTGAGCAGGTAAAGTATTTCTGTTTGAAAAACATTTGCTATCGGAAGCAGACTTTGTTTGTTTATTTATTTTGTTCCTAAAAACTTGGAGAAAGAATTCTAACATATTAATATGCAAGAAAATAAATGTGTTAATGTGCATTTGAAATAAAGGCAGAACTGTGGGGAAACTGGATCACCATTCTTACTTGATCCTTGTTTTTCTCATTTCAGTAATTTCCTGTGAATATGTACTTCAGAGACAACATTAGAGAGGAGCCCACTTATGTTAGCCATGAATTTGGCCCTGTATTAATCCAATTAAAATGTTCAGATTTTTAAAAAAGCTATTTGTGGACTTGCCTAAGTTTAAACCACACCAGGATCCAGTGCTTGAACAGAGCTGGAATGTTCCAGAATGTCATCCTGGCTCTACTGTATGTATAGGGTACATCTACACTGCAAGTGAAGTGTAATTGTAGAGCAGGTAGGCATGTTCACACTAGCTTTAACCTAGCTAGAATGGGTAACAAGAGTAGTGAAGATGTGACGGCCCCAGTACAAACCTGCTGAGGACTCTGGTTATGTACGTGAGTTGCTAGTCCAGGCTGAAGTCTGTGCCGCCACATGTTCGCAACTGTTGTTAGCCATGCCAACTGGATTAAAGCTAAAGGTGGGTATACAATACACTTCGTTTGTGGTGGAGACATACCCTATAACTGCCAGGGCCACCTTTACCTTCATCCTAAGCTCCAACTGCAGTCGTGTCCATTAAAAAGTCAATATTTGACAATAGTTACTACCTATGTATTTGAAATAGGAAATAGCTATGGTAACTGTGTGAAATGTCAGCAAATGCTGACTTTTTAAAGATTACCACTGGAACTCCAAAGTCCAAGGATGGCAACCAGGAAGCCTGAGGGAGAGAGAACCTGTGTAGGCAAAAGAAATATGTGCCGAGGTGAAAACATGACCCCATTGAAGTCTATGGCAAAACTCCCATTGACTTAAGTGGGGCCAGAATTTCACCCGAGAAGCCTTTCCCAGAGTGTAGTTTGCATGGGATGAGGCCTGCGGAGGATATTTGCTTTAAGTTTTGGCAGTATAGTAGGAGGCTGTAACCAGTGGGAAGTGTGAGCTGTGTCCTGGCTATTCACGCCACATGAATAGCAGCCCAAAGACTGGGAAAATAATTGTGGTGAGGGAAGGTGATGAGTGGGCAGGGGCACAGTAAAGAGATAGGCAGGGTGGGAAAAGAAAAGAAAATCTCTATGCAAATAAAAGGAAGATAATGAAAACAAGAGTGAAGGGAATAAAGAAATGGGAAACAAAGTAAGAAAGGTGCACACAATGTCACAGTTAGGATATTTGTATCTGAGTTATAGATTCCAAGGCCAGAAGGGACCACTGTGATAATCTAGACAGACTTCCTGTCTTATGTAGGCCATAGAACTTGCACAAAATATCAGATCTTTTGGATGTTTCTAATCTTGATTTAAAAATGGTCGGTGATGGAAAATCCACCATGACCCTTGGTAAATTATTCCAATGGTTAATTACTCTCATTGTTCAGACTGTATATAAGATAAACATTTTTAATTTATTTAGCTTCAACTTTCAGCCATTGGATCGTGTTATACCTTTCTCTGCTACATTTAATTGCCCAATATTAAATACCATGTTCATATATTGTTTTATTTGAATGTCCAAAAAATGTCGGTGAAAGGAGAGGGGAGGTGCCCATTGTAGTCCCAGCATGTGGTGGGATTTTGGGGAGAGATTTGGGCCCCTTATGGCCCTGGTTGGGAGGGCCATAACTGGCCTTTTTTGTTTTCCCAACTCTTTCGTTTTCCAACTACAGCATTGACTTGGGCCTTGCTGCTAATAAAGGCTCTTTACCAGACAACATTCTGGTTGTGCATTCAAATCTGTAGGCTCTACAGCTTTAGTCATTCTAATAATGTCAGACCATCTGCACCATCTCCCCAGCAGGAGCTTTTCCATTATCTTCATATCTTCTTCTTGTTAACAGAATAAACATGCTTTGTTGGATGTGACTCCTAAAGCGGTGGATCTGTTGAACTATACCCAGTGGTTCCCAATTGTAGTATTCTTCAACCCAGACAGTAAACAGGGTGTGAAAACTATGAGACAAAGGCTAAGTCCCACATCTAACAAGAGTTCCCGGAAACTTTATGATCAAGCAAATAAGCTGAAGAAGACTTGCTCCTATCTTTTTACAGGTAAGCAAGAATCTATTTCTCTTCCGAAAGAGTGGTGGATGTAGGAGGAAGAATGTGTGTGTTTGATAAACTAAATTAATACTATTCAGAGTAAGAGATCATCTTGTACAGTAACTTGTGGTCTTGTGAAAACCCTTCCTAGACAATTAGGAGTTCACTGTCTTGATATATTTCATTATAAAGAAATGTTCATATTGAACCTTACTACTGTAATAAAACTATTGCTGAAAAAAAGTGGATTATTAAAGGGCTGGCATTTATTCAGCCCTTTTTTTCCCCACAAGCCAACAAAAGTGCAAACATTGTCCTTTAGAAAGTGGTCTAGTAAAAATGACCATATAATTTTCTTGCATTGCCCAAAAGATTGGATAAAGTAGGTGCACTGAGATTTTAGAATGAATAGAAAAAATATATGAAAACACTAATGCATATTTTTTTTAAAAATGTCTACAGCTACCATCAATTTGAATTCAGCCAATGATAGCTGGTACGGGAGCCTCAAAGATGCAATTCAGCAACAGCAAGTTGAAGCAGTATGGGTATCGGAAGGAAAGGTATGTGGTCAAACAGCTCATACTGTATGTGCTAAATTGTTTTTCTGTTCTGGGAATAATTCCCCTTCAGAGTGGTCAGATGGCAACTCATCATCCTAAATACTAAACACATTTGTGTATTGAAAAGTTATACTAATTTGAAATCTTTGCAGTGGGTAACTAAGACAGAAAAATAGTACAGGATAAAAGTTTTTTTTTTTTTTAATAACTTATCACGTTGCTCCTGTTATTAAAACCAAGGCATATAACTGCAGCTAGGGCATACATATTAATTTTTTATTGGAGCTATTTTCATGTTCCTGGAAGATCTAGAATTCTTGCAGTTTCATGTTGTTCTGTTTCTTAGGTGTTGTATACAATAAATGTTACTGCAAACTAA